CAGGGCCGAGGCTGGGGATCACAGCTGGCGCGAGGGCCTCGAAGAAGATCAAGACGACATAATCAATGACCTTTGGCGCTCCGCGTGGATCCGCGCTGGACCCCGCTGGCGGCGCCTCCGGCGCCGCCCCTGGCGCGCTCCCCGCTCTTGGAGGGGGGCCCAGCGCAGATCCACGAAATCCGCGCGGAACGCCAGAGGTTCATGTTTATGGCAGTTTCTCTTGTTTTTAGTCTCGAACAATCGTAACTTGAGAGGGGTACCCGCTGGTCGTTGAACGCAGGTATTATTGGATTCCCAGGTCCTATCTACTTGAGGCGCCTACCTACTTGAATCATCGAGTGGTGTCACCTTTCTCTTCCTCTTCTGAGGCCCAATATACTTTCAGCGCCTTCCTACTTCATGCTTTCACCCACCTCTCTCGTACGACGGATAACCTCATGCTCTTCGCCGTCAGGCTCTCGTTTGGGGTGCCTCCAGGAGTGCTCTACCTTTGGGGTGCTTCCATGTGGGGCCTTGGGTCCCCGGCGAAAGTGCTCATGCGCTTGACACCCGCGTTGTTGTGGCCACGTTTCGACCGTGGGGAGGACGGGGAAAAGTGAGGAGAGGGGTGTCGAGGATGCAATTTCTTTCGTCTTCCTCCTCCTCCTCCTCCTCCTCCTCCTCCTCCTCCTCTCTGTCCTCCCCGACTTCTTTTGTTACCAATTCTTCGACATGCTCAAGCTCAGGCAGAGCTTGCCCAGATGTGGACCTTCGTGGACGACACTGTACTACGAGTCGAAGGAGTCCTACGAGCTTTGCAGAAGCACCTCCCCCGTGCCGCCAGGACGCTATGCAACGGATTAAAGGAGTTCGAGTTGCCTATCTCAGACAAGACCGTCCTCATCGGCTCCACTCCCAAGGTCCGCCACTTGCTTGCCAAGAAGATGCGACAGTACGACATCCCAGTTACCGCGACCTCCACGGCCGTCGACCTTGGCGTGGACGCTGCCGCGGCTACTCGACGAGTACAAGCCAAAGCCAGGAAGCGTCAGATCTCCGCCACCGCCAGGTTTCGCAAAATACATCGACTACGGAGCACTGCACAGCAGGCCCGAATCTCTGCTGGCCTGTGGCGCACTGGCGCTCTTCCTGAAGGAGTATTTGGCCATCAGGTTCACGGCCTCGCTCGGCACGCTCTTCTTCGCTGGCGGCGACAGGCCGCCATAGCAGCGACGGGCGCAGCAGCGGGTCGTTGCCTCACTTCTCTCCTCGGCGCCACCTTTGACGGCATGGACCCTGGAGTCTCCCTAAGGATTGAGTTCGTCGAGGCCTGGCTTCAGCACTGGATACGCCACCCGAACACGCACGCCAGGATCATCAGAGCCTGGCCAAAGATCCAGACTACCCTGCTCGCCGCTGGCCCCAAGCTGTGGTGCAAGGTCAAGGGCCCCACAGGCGCGGCCATCGCGACCCTGCTAGAAGCCAGTTGGGAGCCGACCTCAGCTACGACGTGGAGGCGTACGAAGGACGGCTACATCGAGGAGTGGAACCTTCCCCCGGCCGACGACCCTGACCTCCTCGACGCCGACATCCACACAGTATTGCAAGACCTCAGCGAAGATCTACACCGTCTCCTCTGGACGCAGGCCGCTACACATACCCATGGAGACGCGCTTGCAGGAGGCGCAGACATGGTCACTATCCGCATTGAACAAAGGAGGTTCCTCGCAAACGGCGACTTCAGCGATTGGGCCCTCAACAACACCATCATCAGCGGAGGACAGTGGACCAGAGACCGTCTCCACAACGCAGGCTACCAGATCGACAGGAACTGCGACCGCTGCAGTGCTGGAGTCCCTGAAACCCTGTTTCACCGCATGTGGCAGTGCGAGGCGAACGTTGGGCCCGAGTTTGAGGCCAGCGACAAGCTACTGCCGCGAGCCCTAGCGGGGGCCGATGCCGACCCCGCCTTGTGGCTCCGCGGCCTTCCCTCTTCTGCTCTCACTACGCCCTCGTTCGAGCCATCGACTGGGAGGGACGGGTGGGAGTTTGTTGGTGAGGTGCGGGAGGGTTTGCCGACCTGGGAAGGTGCTCGTAACGCAGAGGGTGAGTTGTTTCTTTTTGGCGACGGGTCTGGCGGAGCCTGCTCCGACGACGTCAGGAGACGTCGCGTCGGCTCTGGCCTCGCGGCCCTTCGTTGGAACCCTCCCTCGGCCTCCTGGACCCTCCACTCGGGCCTCCAAGCCCCCCTTCCAGGCTCCCGCCAGACCGTCCCAAGAGGAGAATTATATGCGTTCTGCCTGGCACTAGAGACGTGCCATCAGGATTTCACTTATGTTACCGACCACCTAGCCTTGCAGCGTGGTTGGCAGAATGGTAGATGTCTCCGGCCAGGCAGCCTCAGAGGTAAGAATAATAATGGTGATCTCTGGCTGAGAATACGGCATCTCGTGCAGGATCGACCGCGTGGCGCTTCCTCGGTCACGGTGCTCTGGACCCCATCTCACGCCGACCCCCAGACCCTGCACGGTTTTCAGAAATTTCTAGCTCTCGGTAACCAGCAAGCCGACGAGCTTGCGGGAAAAGCGGCCCACAAGTCGGCCACCCTTGCCCTCCCGCCCGTGCCCAGGACGGACGAATATGATGCTATTGCGGCGATTGTCCGACAGCGGGCACGACTAATCCTACGTTTTTTCGGTGAGAACGCAGAGCCACGAGGATCGTGGCCAGAGAGGCAACCCACTCAAGAGGCTGCCCCTCGCTCTCTGTTGCAGACCGCGATCGCGGATTCTCAGCACAAATTCGTTCGGTGTGTAGATAAATGGCGATGCTCTGCTTGTCACATCATCGTCGATGCTTGCCAGATTATTCCTGCTGCCGCCACGGAGTGTGCACCGCCTTGCCCCCTTCCTGAGTTTGCTGCGTGTGGCGAGGTGCTGTGGTCGAGGGGTCCCCGTGTGATCAGTGGCAAGGCGATGCACCCCTCCCACATGTTGGCCACCATCCCCAAGTGGCAAATGTTCTTCTGTGTGAAGTGCGGCCATACGGCCACACACCAGGTCAAATGCTTACAGTTCCCCTGCCCTCTCACCCACCAAGTGGGAGAGCGCAGGGCCCTGGGACCCACTGGCAAAGGCCTCGAGAACCTCAGCAGGATCAGACGAGGCCTCCATCCGTCCAGATCGGGTCCCAGCAAGTCTGTTGTAGAGGCCATGCATAAATCGGCAGCCGAAGCCGCGATCGCTTCACTCGCGGCTCCTAGCGGCGCCTCTGAGTAAATTGTGAGGCCAGGGGGGCCTGTCGCGGTGTGCCGTGGGTTGTCGCCCCCCGCGGCCCCCCGAGAAATTCTGGATGGCCCCCCTGGCGTCTCTTGGTTCCCCGAACGGACTACGTCCGATTGCTCCACTCCACTCCTCTCTGTCCTCCCTCCGTAGCAATTGTCGCTAAAAGGCTTCAGGTTCTCTGGGGGCAGAAGTGGGCGCCTCTGGTCCGAGGCTGGACCGAAGTCTTTCGAGCCCTCGATCCGCGCGGCGAGTTGCCGGCCCCATGAGTCCAGATTTCACACTGCATCCGCGGCTGCGGGTTTACAGAGGCATGTCCTGCTTCTGCGGCCTTCAGGTGCATCAGACTTGTCGAGGGCCACCCTTGTGGAGCCCCCGTCTTTCGCGGTCGCTCCCGGAGAGGAGTTCGCAGACGCGGGCGATGGGATGGTCCCACTGAGGCGCACGGTCTGGAAAGGCGGCGCGGCCATGGAGAACGACGCCGCGTCCGAGATCATCGACGTCGATCCCACCAAATCCGGTGGCGCCGCCACGCCGCTGTCTCCGTCATCTTCCGCTGCCCCTACTGAAGGCGTTTCCAACGACAGCACGAGCCCCTCCCATAGCATGAACCAGACCTTCTCGAATGTCGCTACGAGAACACTGCGAACATCCAGCTTCATATCGCCATCCATGAAGAAACGTTCCAGGCATTCGAGACCAGTATTCTCAACATCGAGACTGAAACCAGCGAGGGAAGCTCAGCCGCGGTAGCACCCTCCATGACTTCTGAATGGCAGGCCCTGCGGCTTCGACACCTCTGGGCAGCTTCGAGCGTCGAGCGGTCGTCGAGGTCCCCCCAGTCCTCTGCCCCCGTGGTGGAGATGCTGACAGACTCAAGGTCTGGATCAGTGGTTTCACGCGTCGCACCAGGGCATCGGTTATGATCCCTCGCGCTCATCAGGGTGCCCCCCCCTCGTTGCAGACGCGACGTGGGCCATGAGAGTTGCATGAGAGTGGCAAACCATCTTCACGCGAGCGAAGGAGACAGGCATCTGGCGCACCGACTTCCGTCTTGGATACGACGGACCGCGTGGCATCGTCTTTTCTTTTGCGGCAGTGACGACTTCGAAGTCCACGCCCCGCTGACCGAGGCAGTAGGCGACGCTTTGGCGTTTGGTATGAGGCACCAGACACCAGAGTCTCGCCCAGCGTGGAATCAGCCGCTCTGACGCAGGCAAGCTCGCAGCGGTAGCAGGCCCATCTGGTGGCGCGCCGCCCCCGCGCGCCACAACAATTGTGCTGTGAGCCTCGCGCTCGGGGGTGTTGCGCTGGCAGAAGTGCGCGGGGGGCACTCTCACTCGTGCTTTGATTTCGGGCAGATCTTCGCCCTCTGCCCCCGCCTCCGACACTTGGGGTTTCCACCCGTCCGCCTCCCCCCAGAGTGCCCTAGCCCCGAGGATGCCGCTGCTCCATGTCGAGGTCCCCGAGAAGTTCTCGATCGCCCCCTGTTATGCGCGCCGCCTTTTCACATAGGTCTGGTCTAACCGCGTCCTCGGCGAGAAGGACATCGCAATCGTGAAACGCTTTGTTTCTCGCCATCATGGGGCTTGTCTCCGAGAAGCCACGGGGCCCGCGAGAATGCCCGCCCCCGCCCCCCCCCCCCCCCCGAACAAGTGTGATGGAATCCGCGGCCGTGGAATGTCCGAGAAGTTCGAGGCGCCAGAGGATGCGTCATCTTCGCAAGCGAACGCCCCCGCA